GTCTAAATCAAGGGAATCTGATTCTTCTGAGGAAGTTGTTGCGCCACGCACAAGCCCTACAACTACAAGAACAACAACTGTCACGACAACAAGACCAACAACTGTCACGACAACAAGACCAACAACTGTCACGACAACAAGACCGACAACAAGACCAACAACTGTCACGACAACAAGATCGACAACAAGACCAACAACTGTCACGACAACAAGACCAACAACTGTCACGACAACAACACCAACAACACCCACGACAACAACACCAACAACCCCACGACAACGACAACAACACCCATGACAACAACACCAACAACAACCCCACGACAACAATGACAACAACACCCATGACAACAGCACCAACAACAACCCCCACGACAACAATGACAACAACACCCATGACAACAGCACCAACAACAACCCCCACGACAACAATGACAACAACACCCATGACAACAGCACCGACAACAATGACAACAACACCCATGACAACAGCACCAACAACAACCCCCACGACAACAATGACAACAACACCCATGACAACAGCACCGACAACAATGACAACAACACCCATGACAACAGCACCAACAACAACCCCAATGACAGACATTACAGATATGTCAATGGTGTCATGATAACCCACAAAGTGTGTTACGCTGAATGTGACCAGTCTTAAAACGACCTGTGCAAAGGATGATGATAACAACAGATAGTAACTTGCAATATTGGTATTTAATCATAAATTTGAAAAAAAAAATGACTGTACAAATAACAGTATAGTCTACAATTGATTTTTATTGATTGATTGATTGATTGATTGATTGATTGATTGATTGATTAATTGATTCACAATTGATTATAGTTTACAGTATAAAATCATGTTTATGCATTGACAATGAAGGCCTTGATAATAATGAATAATGTAACTAATCAAGATTAAAATTGCATGTCCATATTATGGTTTTAAGTGTTCTTTTTTTCAGTAAGAAGTAAGAAGAAAATATTATTTCATATCAGCATATTAATAATATTTGAAATCAGTAACTTTTCTTGAACCTTTTTCAGTAACCAAAGGAAACAATAATAATAGTACACAACAAGTATTAGTATTACTATTATTATCAGTAGTTGTAGTAGTATTAATATATCAGTAGTGTAAATGACATGAAACCTTATATGATTTTTTTATACAATAATGCACGATTCACAGGAATTTGTGTGTGTGTGTGTATGAGGTCAAAATAAGTAAGGTTAACCATCCTAGTGGGGAAAGTTGCTTCTAAGGGCGAGCTAGGAAGGCAGGGTATGACAAGATGGATTCTGAAGCAAAAGAATATCATTTCTAAACAATAATTGTGCAATCTGTGCAAAGTACATAGTAAAAATAAATACATTTAAAAACTAATGGAAAGGAAGCAGCCAAAACCTACTGTAGCGCTAAAGTACTTTTGGATTCGTGATAGAGCAGCCTCCTCCAACACTGGTTAAATAAGTGATTTCCCACCAAACCGATATGAGGGCAACCACTTTAGCAAGGGTACCATATTCCAACAATGCACATTTATATTAAAGGTTGTTTTAGCGATGTCAGGCCCAAACAAAAAAATATCACATTCATCTAATCTTTCCTAACGACCTGCTAGCTTTTTATTTTTGCGCTCGTGCACGGTGTCTGCACGCGGAGCTGAAGAATAAGCCAGCGACGTCAACCCTATGCTACTGACCAGATACATTTAACATGGAAGAGGCAATCCCCAAGAAAAGAGAAGGAGGATATAGGGCGAGGGAATACCGTCGTTTTTCATTTTCATTACATTTTTGGTTCTGTGCAGCATAATACTTAATTCTGTGTGACTGGAACATGTTTTTCACAAACGAGGACACTTACACTGCCATCTGGTGGCGTCAGAAGAGAAAAAAAATTAACATAATTTAAAGATGGCAGAGAAAACAGGTCACATGTCACGCAGCCACTCCAGACCAAAACTTCCACAAGGTAAACAATCTAATAACATTTCATTATTGATTCTTGTTAAGTTATGCATAATAGTGTTGTATGTTTGAAACGGCATGCACATTTGACAAACTTTTGTAAAAATAAAGATTTACCAAGCTGCTAAAGTTGATGTCCCCATATGTGGACAATGGGACTAAGCTTCGTTGAAACTTGCAAAAAAATGAAAATGTAGTTGCATTGAGCTTCGTGGCAGGAATCTCCTGGGCACGAATAAGCCCATGGAGGGTTCAGGGGCAACAGTTACACAGTCTTTCACACCGGTTAAGTGTGATCCACTGTTCCCACAGATAAAAAGAACATTTCTAGTTTGGAGAAGCAGAAGTTTTGGAGCATTGCAAAAAAGAAATCAAATTTTCAATTTGTTTTGGATATGTTTTTTTATGTGGATATTATATATTATTATGGATATTATATTTCATTATTATATTTATTTTGTTTTTCCATATCAATTTTCAGAAGTTATGCATGCAAGAGTAACAATGAAAAATGTTCAGGCACAATGCTCATGCTGTAAAAAAAAAATAGATTTGCACTTTTTTACACAATGGTGTATTGATTGTTTTCTGTGCATATAGACAATTTTTTGTTTTTTTGTTTTTTCAAAAAGTGCTTCATGTTCAAATATAATATCTGGTTATATTTCTTGCTCCCTCCTAACCCCAAAAAGCTAAGAAATCTAAAAGCACACCAAACCAAAACTCAGGTCTCAAGTAGTTAAGATAGACCCACTGTCCTTGCATGAGGACATCATTTTATGCAAAAACTACTTCCTGTACAAAAACAAATTTTAGTTATTATAGTTATTAGGTCCTACTTGTCCCAAATAGCAAGAAAAATTATAAAATGCACATCAGGCAAACTCTCGGGTCTCAGGAGGTTACAAAAAATATTACACTCAAAAAATGTGAGTGAAGCTCGACTAAACTTGAATAGCTCTAGCGATTCAGCGAATATCAAATTGTAGTGATTTAGTGTGTGAGTTTTTCATGATGCACGAGACGGGAGGGAGGGGTGAGCTAACTTGGTTTGTTTGGATCTTGCTTCAAACACAAACAGAAGTGACATCACCCACAATCGCTGATAAAGCCTTTAATGACATCAAAACAATAACTTATTTTTGCCTAGCCAAATAAATACGCACAGTATTAACCAAAGTAAACTATTACAATAATAAACATACATTCAACACATAAACATCAAAACTAACATGCGAATCACCAGGGTTTGTTGTGTAAAAATGTATATTTTATTCTTTCTTTTACATTATGGAGGTTTTTTTTTTTTTTTTAATTCAATCATGTGTTTTTCTCTCCTGGAATGTATTTGTATTCACGTGACAGAAATAAACACACACACACACGACACAACACACACCAAAACATATGGTCAGAAAGAACTTTTTGATCCTTTTGACATGGATAGATTGTACTCGAGGAAGACAGGGGGCTCAGAAAGACCACTGCATTATAAAACCTTTTGACCTCACGGGAGTGAAGACAATAAAGTCAGAAGGGGCACTGTATCATCTAGTCTTTTGACCTCACAGGCGTGGGGACAGTAAAACCCAGGTTAGGTATTTTTGTAAGAGGGGACTTTGAATATAAGAAGGCTGTTTACTGTCATTTAGGTATTTGTTCATATGGCGAGGTAGCTGTTGCGGTATTCTTTTTTTGTGAACAAGCCTCTTTTAGAAGAAAAAAAGAATAAAACTCTCTTTTAAAATACAATTTGAATCTGATGTCTGCTGTCTGGTCAAACATATACTGATGATGAGTTTAATAAAGTTTATTGTACATCACACAAAAGATGAACCGTCAGTTTTACTTAAATCACCGTAAGAGCTGAGTAAACAAAGTAAGTTATAAGAAGTGCGCAAATTGAGGGAGCATTCCTGTGGGCGGACGTTAGTCAAAAAACTGGTCTACTGACGTCATTGAAGAAGGAAGTATGGGATTTAGTCCAAACAGGCTGTTCGATGTAGGCTACTTCTGTTAAATAAAATATCTTGCTTGGCATTGAACTTTGTGCTTTATAATTTTACTGATATTATTTATACTCTAACAACAACATTACACACTAACTAAAGTTTGAAACATGGGATCAAGAAGAAGAGGACCTTTAAGTTGAGAATCGCAGAACATAAGGCCACCATCAGAAACAACAACCTTGATAAGACTATATTGCTAAATATTATACAAGAAGCTAGTTCTGCTGCCTCCCTAAGGTTTATTGGTCTTGATAGGGTATTGCCAAACCCTTGAGTAAACTATAGACTATTTTGCAAGATGTAAACAACACTGGTCCAGAAGCACTTCCTGTTTGAGTTTTTTAACGCTACATAAAAGCTGGGATAAAATACAACCAACAGAACATATAAAACTGAATCAAAAAGTTAAACAAACATCTTTGAGATGTTTTCTTACATGTGAAATAAAGAAAACAGTTACAAACTGAAACAGGAAATGTTTCTGGACCAGTGTTATTTACATCTTGCAAAATGGTCTATAGAGTAACAGCTCTTGAGAAGAGAAGCTTTTTGGATAAATGAACTGTCTACTGTTGAACCCTATTGTATGAAGGAATCACAGGATTTTAGCTGTTTTCTTTAAATATGGGTTATAGGGTATTGACTATTAGCCTCACTGCAGTGCACACATTATATCTGTAACATTGTAGACATATTGATGATGTATATCTGTAACGTATGTATATATTTTTCAACAAAATGTTTTGCTCATGTCAGGCTTTCGATGATGATAATCATGTATGTATTCTGTGTTGATACATTTGAGGATGTGAATCATATATTCAATTAAACACGTGGCACACAATGTGATTTGTCTGAACAATGCATTGGGACAGCGGCGTTGCATGATTTACCGTCTTGTTTGGATTACTACACACTGAGTGTTGAAGGGATTTTGCAAGGCATTTTGAAAGTTTTGGTACAGACCCGGAAGTTGCACAAATGTTGACTTATTGTCACGTCATCTACGTGGGAATTCACTGGACCAAGCCTTGGTTTATTCACATCCATCCAGTATTTAAGCCACATTTTCACAGATGCCAGACTAATACAGACTGAGACATTACAACAACTGGACGAGAACATCAGCGCAAGGTAACTCACTCATCTCTTGAGTTATGCTACATTTATGGCTTTGAATCTATATTACTGGTACCTGAATAACCACTGAATACAAGCAAAAAATATTATTCTATGATAAACAATATTTCGAGAATAAATGTTTCACATCAATCTCATTAAGCGCTTTTGTTTTGTAGGATGAAGTCAATTCAGGCATTGTTACTGATGCTTTTTGTTGCATCTGTCTTTTCAAAACCAGTAAGCAGTCATCTTTTTACGATCTTTTACTTTATTGCTCTTTCAAAGGCATACAGTACTATTATTAATAAAACTTTTTTTCAACTGTTTGAATCCCCAGTTTCCTTTGCGCAGAAGATTTGATTCATCAGACTCAAGATCCGGTTCCAGTGAGGATTCAAACTCTGAATCAAATGAGTCTAAATCAAGGGAATCGGATTCTTCTGAGGAAGTTGTTGTGCCACGCACAAGCCCTACAACTACAAGAACAAATCCGCCGACCACTGTCACAACAACAAGACCAACAACTGTCACGACAACAAGACCAACAACTGTCACGACAACAAGACCAACAACTTTCACGACAACAAGACCAACAACTGTCACGACAACAAGACCAACAACTGTCACGACAACAAGACCAACAACTGTCACGACAACAAGACCAACAACTGTCACGACAACAAGACCAATAACTGTCACGACAACAAGACCAACAACTGTCACGACAACAAGACCAACAACTGTCACGACAACAAGACCAACAACTGTCACGACACCAAGACCAACAACTGTCACGACAACAAGACCAACAACTGTCACGACAACAAGACCAACAACTGTAACGACAACAAGACCAACAACTGTCACGACAACAAGACCAACAACTGTCACGACAACAAGACCAACAACTGTCACGACAACAAGACCAACAACTGTCACGACAACAAGACCAACAATACCCACGACAACAACAACAACAACCCCAACAACAGAAGACACCACAACCTGGGTTGCGCAGAATATGACCAGTGCTAACATGACATGTGGAAGGCTTGATGATAACTGTGAATAACTTCCTGTTTAATCGTATTTTCATGCAAAACACACAAATAACAGTGTACAACTGATTATAGTCTACAGTATAACCTATGCTTATGCGTTGATAATGAAGGTCTTGATACTAATAATATAACTAATAAGATTAAAATTGCATGTTCTCATTGTGGTGTCGTGTTCTTTTTTGAGGTTGATGTTATTGTTGCTTTTTGTTTTGTTGGGTTTTTTTTAGGAATATTCTTATTTAAGAAAAAAAAGGAAAACTATTTTATGATGTAAGAAAAAAAACTATTTTTTAAATTGGGTTTATTATTGGTTAGTAGTACTTTGTCTAAAGAAAAAAAAGTAATATCAGAATGTTAATATGTGAGTTCAGTCATTTTTCTTATACATTTTTCAGTAACTGATTGAAATAATAATAAATAATAGTGTTATAAAATTATTATTATCAGTAGTTGTAGTAGTATTAACATAGTTAATTACACATTAGTATAAATGACATGGAATCTTGTAGGATTTTTACCAGCATCATCCTAGCTTTTAAAAAAGTAATGTGTTTAAAAGTAATGATTTACTGTATTGTTTGGATTACTACACACTGAGTATAGGGATTTTGCAAGGTATTTTGAACGTTTTGGTACAGACCCGGAAGTTGCACAAATGTAGCTTTTAAAAGGAAAGTAGCTTTTAAAAGTAATGCAATACAAAATTGCGTTTTTTTTTTTTTTGTGAAAGTGAGATGAGTAAATGCTCTCATTTACTCTAGAACTACAATAACTATCATGTTCACACACACACAGCACACACAACGCTTCTGCACTTTCTCAAGATTTCTCTCAATATGGGAACAGGAGAGCTGAGAAACAATGTAACTTGAGTATTTGATAAGGTGTTAAGTATTTGATTATGTGTTACTTTATTGGTTACATTAAAAAAGTAATCTGATTACATAACTCACATTACTTTTAATGCATTACCTCAACACTGCCTCCTATGGTATTAGAAGAAGAACTTCAATTTATCTCAACATTTTACATCTGTGCTCCATTGCATTTGTTTTGCATGGTTAAAGATTATGCTGAAAGTCAAAAGTTGCATCTGCTGAGTGACAATAAAAAGCGCATTTGGAATTGGAAGCACATCGCTTGTTACAAAAAAAAGAAAAAAAAATCTTCCTACATGACCTCATTGTATTTGTCAGCTACAGTATTATGTGAGTGGGAGATCAGTCATAGTGATATCCCTTTATCATTGTTACACATTGCTGGGTATTTATTCGCAGATCTCAGACATTGCGTAAAGTCAGCCAGTGATGGCCAGATATTGAAAGAGACAGTTTTGTTTGTAATATGCATTAGTCAATGAACAAACTGTAAGCTGTCTGAGACTAATAGTACCTCAGTGATTTGCATATGAAGAATATGCTAAATATTAATAAATAATACCTATATATAATTATTAACTCAAATTTTTATTTAAGATTTTTCAGCATTGAACAATTTTCAGAGCTTTCATAGAGCTGCTTTTTTACATCTGAGCCTCATGCCTAAATCAAAATGTGTGTTTTGTTGTTAGGTTAATTATATAAATGGAAAGCGTCTGCATGCGAACATTAACAGACGTCAAAGGATTTGATTTGATAGCTCTGTGATTAGAGATGTAATTAAACTTGCTGTACGTTGAGAAGAACGTCACATTAACGGAGCAGAAGTCATGTGCACCGTGCTCTTACTTTGTCAACACCAATCTCAAATTAAAGAATTAGACATTTTATTTAGAATAGTATTCATTTTTTGTAAGAAATGGCCAGACTGCGATCTCAGAACAGGATTACAGAGCACTAGATGTCACAGTCTGCGTCTGCACCATCCTGTCAGCGTCTCCTGCACTACACTTCCCATGATCCTCTCGTCTGCACACCTGAACTCACTCCCTCATCAGCCTCCCGTTCAGCGTCTTGTTCATCTGTTTCACCTGTTTTCACCCCATTATGTCTGATTCATCTGTGTATTTAGTTCCCTCAGTTTTACTCTGTCTTTGTCGGTTGATGTCTATTGTTGGTTATTGTGAACCCGTGTGGTGCCCGTATTCCTGTCTGCCTGCCTGTTTATACGTATTAAAACCTTGTTCTCCCCGATACTCCGGTCTCCTCGTCCTTCTGCCAGAGCCACACCGTGACACTAGACTTCAAAGTTTGACAAATATGTCTGAAGCCTTCACATCAAGACATTGGCACAAGAAACACAGAGCTGTGGGTGATCATTTTTAGAAGTCAAGTGAGGGTTTGACATCTCTCCAGGTAAGTCTGGTAATTTATGTATGTCATATCGTTCAAAACATTGTTGTAACTGTAGTAGAGAGGCATTTATTTTTACCCCCTTCTGTTATTTATCAAAGAACATGTTTCAAAAGTGGTTACAGTTTACATGTGGTTTATAAAGTGTCCAGGTGGTTTCTGGAAAGTCAGGCCAAGATGCTTGGTTATTGCCTGGGTGTTAATGGACCAAGTCATACGTTTCTGTTAAAGGGATACTCCACTTTTTTTGGAAATAGGCTCATTTTACCACTCCCCCCAGAGTTGAAGAGTTGGGTTTTACCGTTTTCAAATCCATTCAGCCGATTTATATATATATATATATATATATATATATATATATATATATATATATATATATAGAAGAATATCAGTAACCAGACAGTTTCTGGTCTCATTGACTTCCATAGTATATATTTTTTTCCAGTTTCTGGTCTCATTGACTTCCATAGTATATATTTTTTTCTACTATGGAAGTCAATGAGACCAGAAACGGTCTGGTTACTGATATTCTTCTAAATATCAGAAAATTGGCTGAATACATTCGAAAACGGTAAAACTCAACTGTTTAACTCTGGGGTAGTGGTAAAATGAGCCTATTTCCAAAAAAGGTGGAGTGTCCCTTTAATAAACAAAATAATGTAAACTGTCATAATTACTGCAGAAATGGGAATATCTAAGCCAGTATATTTGAGCCAATATAAGGGCCCTTCAACACCAAAAAAATCTTTTCAAAGCAATTTCCCCCACGTGCATCGACGGGTGAGTTGAAACTCATTATAATATGCAAAACTGTTATCCACTCACAACAGTGGGCGTTTACTTCCAAGTCTTCAGTGCGAGACGCCCATAAAAACCGAGCGTTTTTCAGCTAGGCTCAAAACTAGGGTACCTATTACTTATTCATTTTTATGTTCGTGAATGCTAAAACCAAGTGAACGTCATAAGTTGACCTCAACAATATAATAAAATTTAAAAAGCCAGTTCATGACCCCTTTAAAAAAATTTAAAAAAATGCAGTCTTAAATCTAAGGTATTTTTGCCTCAGCCAGCACCACCAAAAATTGTGTTGTATAAAATTCCACTCTTCCAAAGGCAAACTCTGTCCATGTTGAATGGTTTACTAGATTTGTATCTGTAATTCTTTTAGCTTTGGTAATATTTAGACATTGCTTTATCTTGTGTATCCTCGGTGCACTAAGAAACACTGCATGACTGATATAGGACAAAATTTATTCATTAATGATCATTCATTACATAGAGCAGTATAAAATTACATTTACATTAAGTTCGTAAATAATTGTGCAATGAACAGGAAGACATTGTTGAGATGAAACTGCATAGCAGCAGCTCAAGAACTCGCATGAACCGCGTCGTTGTGCTCTGCGTTTGTCGTCGATCTCACAATAACACCTCGTGGAGTGAGTCACCAAGCACCATACAATTAATACATTTGCATTCGTTTGTGTCGACTGGGCTTGACTGCGATTACTTTGCGTTTATGATGGAAGCCTCGGTGGTCTGTGTGTTCTGCTCATCCGAATCGCTCTCCTGGCTTTCTGTGCTCTGTGAGGAGTCGCTGTCTGCAGCTCCGGGGGTGGCTGTGGTCTCCTCGCTGCTATCCGACTCCCCTTCTTTCTCCTGGCTTGCGCTGGCGCTGTCGGTGGAGTCTCCAGCACTCGCTCCCTCGCTGTCTGGCTCTTGGTTGCCGGCAGGGACGATCTCTTGGCTTCCCAGAGCCGCCTGGCGGTCTCCTGGCTCCATGTTCTCCATCTCGGGAGTGCTGCTGTCCTCCTCCAGAAGATCATGCACCTGCAGAGCCTGAGAAACAAAAGTCATTCTTGTTTTGTTATATTATTCAGTTGTTAATTTGAAGAATCATTCATGTCTGTTGCGTAAATGGGACAGGAGGGTTACACAAAGAGTGTAGAACTCTAAGTGTGAGTAACAGTAACATTACTTGTTGTAACTATGAAAATGGTTTAAAATTGACAATTCTTGTTTTTATGGAATATTGCAGTAGGCTATTTATTATAGATAATTTACCCACACACGACATCATTTTAAATATTTAATCAAAATAACTTCCCCTCTCTCTTGCAGTAACATTTTCTCTTCTCTGATGACGTGTTTACTTCTAGAGGGCGGAGCAACCTGTCACTCACATGAGATCCACGAATAGCGAACCACAACCATCCAGTCAATTCCCCAACAACATCTAGTCCCGCCCTTAACATTTTGTCTTGTTCGAGAAGCTGTTTCGCTCGGATATACGTCACAATAGGGAAGAAAAGACTCACAACTTTTAGTTTCATGCCGACTTTAATTAGCGTTGGGGAAGCTATAGGCTAATTTAAAAGTGTAACAAGCTAGTCAAAATTTTAAGAAGACAAATGACAGTCAAGCTAAAGCTTTGAAAGAGTAGCTATTTGTTGTTTAACTTATAGCATAGCTAACTACATTAATGCTATGTAGGACATATAAAGCTATATTGCCCATATGTTAAAACAAATAGCTGACTATCCAATTATATCATTTATCATTTAATTAGAGACATAATTTTGCTCATTCAAAAATATTGACAGGTTTTAAAAGAATCAACAATCTCAATTAGGGTGACGATTGGGATGACAAATTATCAAACTTAAGCTAAATACTGTACAACAACAACAAAACTCTAATTTGCACAACTGAGTAAAAAAATCAAACGGGAGTCGAACGGGTGAATCTTTTTTGTTAGCTTGTTCATTTAAATGAATCGTCCTAATGAACTGATTCGAATGAATTGGGACTTCCAACACTATAAACTGATCATTTTAGGATGGTTCTGCTACATTTGTTCTGTTGTAAA